GAATATCTGCGAGCTATTTTGTGCTTTTTGAGGTGATCATCTCAGTCAAATTTCTACTTGTCTTGATTTTTCTTTGAAACATTTACACTTGCTGAAAACTGGAATACAACTTTATTGTTATGGGGCTTTTATTGATTGTGTTTGCAACAACGACTGCTGGTTGTTTGTAACCATGATGGATTCCCATTCTGCTCATTTTCAGCTCCATATTTTTATTCTTCAAGTCCGCCAGAGAAGCTTTCGACGATTTCCAGCTTAACACGTATTAAATCTCATATTCAGCTTTTTGGTGCAGACCTTCATTTCATGCATGCACCAGTTTGTCCTTATATCACTTTGTTTTTACTTCATTTACACACAACTGGTCTCTCTAAACTGCTAAAATGTTTGTGAAGGATTAAACAGAAATTCTTGTGTTGACATTCAGCGTTTCCCATCTTTCATTTACAACATTTTGAGCCACTGGCAGGAAACAAAACATGACTAAAACAAAAATGGCACCTTCGAAGCATCGCGGCATCATTAGTGTCCAAACATATTCACAGAGTCTCTAAAAAGAGGCAAAGAAAGGAAGAAGGCTTGGTGTAACTTACAGTCACAGTCCCGCCGGCCTTCAGAGTGAACTTGTGGGGAAACTTGTAGATGATTGGGGTTGAATTCCCAACCTGTCTCTTCACTTGCCAATTGGCCAGTGATTGGTCCTGCATAAGAGAAAGTTGGAGAATTAGGCCGAGTCACAAATAATCCACTAAAGACACTGGAAATATTTCTTATAGCAGAGGTGAGGAACTCCAGGCCTTGAGGACCGTTTGTCCTGCAGGTTTTAGATGTGTCCTTGATCCAACACATTTGATTCAGGTGTGTTGACCCAGGGCGAGATCTAAAACCTCGAGGCCTGGAGTTCCCCCCCCATTTCGGTGTGCTTGTATAGTAATGCACAATCTCAGCTACCTCATCAGCCTTGTTGCTGAGACGGATGTATCTCCCCTCCAGATCAACCTCGTCCACCGTGATGCGTCCACTGGCCGAGGCTTGCTGACTGATGCGAGTCTTGGTCACAGTGTTTCCTGTCACGCTGGAGGTCTCGCTGTCATTGTCGTGGAGGCGGCGCTTCTTTGAGACGCTCATCCCAGAGGAGTTGCGGCTGCTGGAGGCAGCGGCAGTGGCGGTGGAGGAGTGGTGCACCCGGGTGGTCTGAGAGTGGCCTGAGGCAGAGGTCCGCGACACCGTGACTTTAGTGGGTGGAGGACTGGGTGACAGACGCAGCCTGGGGAAAGATGGTGGGAGAGGATACATACGAGGTAAGGGCGTGTGCAAATGCACCTGCTGGTTAAGTGCCAGGATTACATCCTCACTGCTCTGGTTCTCCATCAAACTTCATCAGGTTAAAGACGGTCAACAGCCTCGTGTCATAATCGCCGTATAATTATATCTCTCACTGATTCTGCACCTTGTTTATGATAGTAACAGACTGTGGTACCAACGCCAACAACACCCTGAACTCATATGCTCCCATATCGTCCTTTTTACCTTATATGTCGTATACTATAAGAAATAAAACTCAAAACCATGAAATTATCAGAAAACTGTTTCCTGAGGTCACGGATAAAGTGAGCAGCAGGGTCATTTTCTCAAAAACCTCATAATCACACATGCTGCCCCCTGCTGGCCATCAGAAATAATACAGTTTTTCTGCACGTTATTAATAGGTTTAGTTTTTTATTTCATATTTAGAAAAACTTTGTTTATGGTGCAAGCTCTTCACATTACTGTTTAAACACGGGCTATCTCAGATTTCAGTGCTAAATACACCAACATGTTTAAAAGAAGAACATTTTAACAACAAGGGCGATGATAGCAAGCGTAACAGAGAGGACGAGGATAAAGAGTTATTATATAGAGCACTGGCTGCCACTGCTGCATGCATGTTTGTGTGGACGTGTGATACAAACGGCTGCAATGAAACAGATTTATTACAGGATGAAATGTGGCTCTAAATTGTTTGTTAGCAGCTCTGCACAAGAGACTCATGTCAAGACATTCAGGTCAGCCCTTCATGAGGAGCCGATGAGCTGTATTGGCTGGATAGCAGTAGGTTACCTACAGCGACATAAAAGCCACATTAATTTTGATTTGTAATAATAATTTAAAAAAAAACGGGCCCAAATCACATTTGAAGAATATCCGAGTTCTCTTCATGAAAAACTTTCATGAAAAATCAGAGTCAAATAAGAAAATGAACAAAATAGAAACTTTGTGACTGTAAATATACTTCGGTCAGTCACGTTTCGTTGCTGGCTGCATGCCATTAACTTTCTCTTTACCTTAGTTATGTTTTGTCCTGTCTGTCGTCTCTTTGTCCCTTTCTCCTCTTGTGTTTTCTTCGTATCCCAAACAGATGGCCGCCCTCCCTGAGCCCGTTTCTGCTGGAGCTTTCTTCCCTTTGAAAGGAAGCTTTTTCCCCCTTCCCACTGTTGCCAAGTGTGCCCTGTGATACGAGTGGCAACCTGTCCAAGGTGTACCCTACGACCCTCCCTCTGTGGGTGTGGATAAGTACTCGGATTCCTGCGTGTCCCTGAAACTCAGCTGTTGTTGGTAGTTAATTAAAGCCAGTTTGGCGTTTTTCTTGGTTTTTGTTTACTTTATACATCACGTCATGATGCACCTCACAGTAGTTACACGCCTGTACTGAATGCACTGATAAACACACTTCATATTTATAATAATATATTTGTTTTCTCTGCACAATCAGCCAACAGTCCCGCTGGGTGATGAAGTGAGGCTCACTGTTGGCATTTCAGCTCGTGGTGAAACCATTTTTTATGGCTCTGACGAGGTGTTTGAGGGCATGGTTTTAAAATAGAAATAGTACTTTCCTCAAAGTTAGGACTCTATTTACACCCTCGTTACGCTAAGAAAGAGAAAAAGGAAAAAAGACAAACAGCCTCGAAGCAAAAGCACCAAAAACAAAATGAAGCCAAGCCTGGTCCACAGGTGTCCACCTGCAGGATGGCAGTGACTCTAATTGGTTATTTATTGCACTGCTCGGAGCACAGAAGTCCTCGCCGAGGTTATGGAGCACTGGGTTCAGTTTCCACTCGTTATCCCCACAAACCAATTTTTCACTGACTTGTTAGCGCTCCCTCTTTTCCCATAACAACTTCTGGCCTTGTGGGCATCTACGCGGGTGTAGAGCTGTTTTACAAACAACCTCACCTCTCCTCCTCTCCCTCCAGCAGCTTCCTGTAAGCATGGATCTCCATGTCCAGGGCCAGTTTGATGTCCAGCAGCTCCTGGTACTCATCCAGCTGCTGCTGCATCCGGGCTCGGATCTCAGTGATATCGCGATCTTTGTCCTCCAGCCGTCGCCTCATCAGGTCGCGCTCGCGTGTCAGAGCCTCCTCGAGCTCCCGCGTCTTGGCCTCACTTGCCGACAGCTGATTCGGAGAGAAGACACACAAACGCCGCCTGGTTACATTTTCACCACTGCTTTGTCTTGGATCTGAGAAATCCACCTGATGGTTAACAATCCACTGACACGCTGCGAGTGGAAGTACCTGTTTCTGCAGCTTGCTCAGCTGGCCTGACAGGCTCTCCATTCGGATCCGGGTCTGCTGCAGCTCTTCATGGGCAGCTCCCACCAAGTTGCTGTTCCTGTCAGCTGACTGACGAGCATTTTCCAACTGTCGGGCAGAGAGAAGAGGCAGTCAGCGCCCAGCAGGGCTCAACTACAGCAGAAAAAGTCTGACCTTCTTAATAAAGCTCAAATGAACAAACCCAAATAAAGTTATGTCAAAGTAATGGGATGAAGGAGCATTACTTATAAAAAAACTAAACGACAAGGCCAGCCATAACCACGGCCACAGTAAAAGGACAGTTCACCCTTTGGTCTGTAAGCTTTAAATCCATCGGGGTTCTTTTTGAACGAGTTTGGTCAGTTTTGGAGATATCAGCTGTTACAATGTTGCAATGTCGACCTTTCCATCTAATGAAACTGAGCAACACTCACCTCGTGGGGCTGAAAAGGTAAAAAGAATGAAGTGTAATAAAATGTAACAACCAGAAAAATGTGTCTCTTTCCTTCTATCTACCGACATCGACAGTTAAAAGCTCGCCAGCAGAGCCGCCTGATCTGTGCAGGAAGCAAACTGAGCATCTGAAATAAATCCTCCTACCTCGTGTCACACCTGGAGTTTCTCAGTGTTGCAGTAAAGTAACTGTTACTGACCACATGGATGTTATTTTCATATCGACAGGTGTTTCCTACAAACAGGTTTTCTTTCAACTTACTGTTAAGATCAATTTCTGCGACTGCAGAGCCCTCAGTTATCTCAGTGTGTGTGTGTGTGTGTGTGTGTGTGTGTTACAGAAATTTGTAAAGGTAAAGTTTAAAGTTGCAAATTATGTTGAAAATTGAAACATTAAAATGATTAAAATGTGATTTTTTTCAATATCACTAATAACAGAAAAGTACAATATATATCCATTAAATAAATTTAATTTTTATTTATTTATTTTTTTTAGCCCTAAGCATCTTACTGTTTTGTTCTTGGATGTCAAAGTTCATACAGGTGGGAATGTAATGTCCTGTTTTTATCTTCGTTCACAGAATCAGCAAAATCTTCTTCTACCATTTTCTAAGAAACAAACATGATGTTTCATAGTAACAAAACCACAGAGATCTAAATCCTACAATGTGTTGCAAACGTCTCCGACACATTTCTCAGATGTTTTATTTAGTTGCTGATCAGCATGAGGATACTCCACCTCTGCCCGTGTACAGGCCACGATGTCCAATCCAATTTTATTTATAAAGCACTTTAAAATACCCAGCA